ATAATAAAGCCTAATCATTGCTTCGAGTGTCTTTGAATAATCAACTGATTAAAATATGTCTCTGTATATAAGTATTCATACTAAATACTATATTCGCTACTCGGATTAGTCATGATTTTATTATTTTCTGCACAGACGCGAAGTGCCTTTACTCGTCATGATTAAATCACGATTGATTTGAAACTTTTACATTAATTGGAAAGTGCATATAAATTGTTGAAACAAAAGCGAGATACATTCGAGTGTGTTTTGTCATTTCGGTGATTTTAAGCATTGGCAAAATATTTGCTAAATAAATTTCACATAAACTTGTGCACGAAGCGTTCATTGTTACATAGAAAAGTATTGGACTCGGGTTTATAAAAATCAACTTTTAACCAACTTAAATGAATACACGAAATTTATTTTGTATGTCGTGTGTGTGCGCGCGCGCGCGCGCGCGCGCGTGTATGTGCGAGAGACTCTGCGTATGTGTTCAGTGTAATAAATTTAATTTGCGTTCAATGTACGTACACGTAGCTGTAAGTAGGAAGAATCATCAATATTCTATATCTGGATATATTATTTATGAAGAAAAGAAAACTCTACGTCAATCAACAAAAGAAACTCTAAATCAATGAAATGCGTTACGATTCCCTTTCTCATTATAAAAGGGAATACTTTCATTGACATTGTTGAATGGTACTCTATGGTGTTGTTTTTTGGTTTCTTTTTACATTATAAATAGATATTTTCATTGAAATACCTTACTATACATTAGTAAATAGATAGTAATAAAAAAGGAGATATAACTAAGAGTCGTCTCAAAAGAAAAGTATCGATCAATTTGTATCTTTGAAGGATCTATGAAACAGAAACTTCACATTATTCCCGACAGATTTTCAATATTCACAAGCTTAATGTCTAGACAAGAAAAATTCTTACAACTTATTAAATTTCGAACATGCATGAATCAGATCTTTCTTTCTTTCTGTTTATTTTATTTTTTTTTTGTTTTTGTTTTGTTTTGTTTGTTTTTGTATTTATTTGTTTTTGTATTTATTTGTTCTGCCTTTATTATTGCCTCTCCATTTTAAATCCTCCTTGTTCAACTAGCGTATTGAAATTCGAAATTTGTTGCCAGCAGCGGCTTACAAAAAAAAAATCACATTCACGGAAGAAAGCACAATTTCATTATTATGCGCCGATCGTCTCATGTAACATTATCATTGACACCCGTTCACGCGATAAAACAGCGAACGCTATTAAAAATAATAATAATGATGATAGAAAAGGTATCGATATCTCGAGCGAAACCTTTACGGATTTCGTAGTCAGGGCCGTGATTCTTCGGGCGGCAATTAGCTCGAAGGCTTGAAAGTGCCTCGGCCCCTTCTCCAGGCGCATCCCGATGGAGTTAAAGCCGAGACTCGACGTAAGATCGAGCCGATATTCGCCGGAAGTTAAACGTCGCCGATGCCATCGAGGCGAACGAACGTCGCGGCACAATCTACGGCTCGAGCTCGGGTTATTTACGGCTCCGAGACGCCCCCACCTCTCCTCCTTGCAAATATCGCGCGTGAAAGAGGAGCCTCGTCGCGCTTCGAGGAATTTCCAAAATATTAGCACGAGTTGCAAAGTCTTTCGGCCGAATACTTCGGCAAACTTCCGCCCGAGCCTTAGCGCTGCACTGTCTTCGAGCGAACGAGATCCCACGTAATTCACGAGCTGCTCTGAAAAATCCCCTCTTGGCCTGGAAAATCGCTGGAAGTCGGCCTTTCGGCCGAATCTACGGGCGAGCAAGAGGCAATTACTCAAATTTTCACGCTGCCTTTGTCGCTCCACGAGAGCTCATTCAAAATATTTTTCGATCGAATTTCGGTCCAACTATTTCTATTAATGCAAAATACTCGGTGGAGAATTTTCATTATGACGACGAATTTAGTAACGGCTTTAATAATATTATCAGAAAGCCATAATTGGATAAATTATCATTTGAGGAGGAGTTTGAGGTGAAACTTTAATGTGATTATAAAATAAGGAAAGAAGAAATAATCGCTCGCGCCACTCCCGTGAATGTAATATTGTTTATTCATTTTAATCAGCAGTTTAAATGGGCAAAAGTCAGTGGGAACGTAAATAGAAGGTAAGGGAAAAAAATTGTTCAAGACTTGCGAAGTGAAAAGGAGTGGCGTAAAAAAAATCCTTTAAAAATCAAAATTAATTTTGATATTAATCATATCGTCAAGTAAATAATGAGCAAATAATGTTAACTATCGATATTTTATTACTAATATAACTATTATTGAGAAATTATTGGCAAATTATAGCCAGTGTAGGGTTAATAATACGACTATAACAAAGGCGATAATAAGTATAAAAGTACTATGAGAGGTTATATTAATGAATGTTTATATTATAGTATAATCTCTCCTTAAATTATAATCAACGATATTACGAATTTTCCAATATGAAGGAATAGAGCCTGAAAAACAGCGATAGCAAGATGATACGTATTATACACAATAGAAGAAAATATCTGGTTGAAAAATCTGAGAAAAAGCATATGTTTTTCAAACCTTCGTATTGTGTCAATTGTGAAATTCTCTATTCTCAGTCTGAAATGGTAAACAAAGCTATAAATTATCTATATAATATAATGGAAAGTTTCGAGCAAATGCCTCCTACCTAGGCGGATTAGACTTATATTGATGAAACGGAACGGCAGGGGGTTGGTGGTGCACTGGTGAGGGGGGGGGGGGGCAGAGAGAGAGAGAGAGAGAGAGAGAGAGAGAAAGCATTAAGAAATAGCAATTTGGCGTTACAAGTAATTCAGTTCATTTTAAGAACCTTTAGGCAATTTTTTAACTCGACTGAAACTAATTTAACTATTCTCATCTGTTCACTTATATTGTCGAATAATAAGAAAATTTCTTTTTCATTTTTACAAGTAAGAAGACTTATATTTAAGTAGAAGATAATTCATACGATATGTGCGACTCATTATTATACACATCGAAATCGACTCGTTCGTGGATAATTTTTTCTAAAAGTCCATCTAAAAGACCATTAAACCCTTGGAAAAGTTAATTATACGGAAATTATTATATTCATATGAATTTTCATTATAACAATATAATAAGAATATGGCACTATTTTTATATAAAAATGACATTACGATCGAGATGACATTTTAAAAAGTCACAAATATTATTAAGTAATTAATTACAATTCTAGTCAAATAATTGTAGTTCCAATTACATCATTTATAAACATTTGTTTCGATTGAAATTAATGTGGATACATATATTTTTAACATTATTCTGCAATGTAAAAAAAAACAAACAATAATCAAATATTTTTATTTATACAAATATTATAAAAAAATATACATGCATGTTTGTATAATTCAGTTTTAAATTAATTTTTTTACCAATTAATTTTTTTTGCCAATTACAAATAAAAAAATGGAAACAAAAAAGTACTCTTCGAATATAAAATAACTTATTGAATTCTAAATGTCGTTTAAATTGATGTCGCTAATAGCAATTTAAATATATTAATTGATTTTTATGAAGATCTTTTAACTGTATAAAAAAAATAAAATATATGCTAACATCAATAATTTAATAAATATTTACATGTAATTTTATTTACATCATTATTCATTTAATCATTGTACTTTGAACTATTTAAAGATGTTTTTCAATTTTTTATATTCTACTTGAACTAGAAAAAAAAAAAGATCGTATCTATACAATAAACGTAATTTTATCAAATGAAATCATGTCAAACGTTGATTAATTTTTTCTAACTTATTTAAATATCTGCCGTTTTGTGCTCAATGCCAAATTTGAAACAAAAATATAAAATAACAATATGTAATTTATTTCGTTATTTGCAAATTTATTATTCAAAACTGTATTCATTAAATAGAATTATTGTAACATTTGATTATTACAAATGCATTTATTCATTCGTAGATGAATATGAACTTGAATTGGATTATTTTAAAATTTTTGAATTTTTCAGCCAATATATTGTGATTTGTCAATTGATTCATCAATGCGTTTATCAATTATGTATTGTTCGTCGAAATTAAAATCAATATATGCTATTATAAATATATTTATTGTTCATTAGTATCCAGGCTATTTTCAAATAGACCAAATTCATCTTAACATGAAAATTATTATTATAAATATGTTCTAAAAAAAATATGAAGTGTTCATGCTTGTGTGCGTGCGTGCGTGTGATTAATATTTTGACATTTTGGAATATTGTTAAATGACCTTGATTTTACGAGCACTATTTCAAATCGTAACAATCGGAACGTTTTCTTTAACAAATTTTTTACCCAAACTATAATCACACTTGTATCTACTATGACAATTCACACACGTGCATACAGACACACGTGCACACACACACACACACACACACACACACACACACACACATATATATATATATATATATATATATATGTGTGTGTGTGTGTGTTAATATGGTATTGGAAAATTATTTGACTTTTTTATTGTCGTATTATATTCAGTGTTTGTTATAGGTAGCTTATCCTATAAATGTCAAGCTCGTATGAAAATTTTCGAGAAAGCCACTCAAAGTAACATTACAAAATCATTCAACGCAGATAAGTGATAATTATATTTAAAATTGAAACGTTTAGTAATCTACAATAAACACTAGGTCACCGCATTATCTGGAAACGGCTTGAAAAGTAATCTCATTGCATCTATCTCTATGCGCTTGCACGTGTAAATGCCAAAACGATAAAAGCAATGAACAAAAAGGCTCGTTTTCATAAGAAATCGATAGATAGAGAGGAATTACCATCAGCCGACTGATATAATCCAACAAAATAAAAGAAAGAAAAGAAAGAACAAGAATCAATAGTCCATAACTGCGGCACAGCAGCGTCGATAGGGTGGCCCAAGATATTTAGCAGAGGGTAAAAGAGAGAACGAGAATAGGATGATAAGGCAGGTATCGAGTTTACTTACCGCGGATGAAGGGCGCAGTCGCGCGGCACTGTATGACAATTATTGATTGTCGGGGGTGGTGCCTGGCAACAGGAGACCGCTGGTTCATGTCTGTGGGGATGATTGGCCAACTGTTGGGGGCTGCGCACGAACTGCAGGGAACTACGTAGGCTCCCCGGTAGATGGCAGCGTGGCGTTAGCTGCTCGCTGAAACAATCGACGACATATCTTTTTAGTTTTCAATGGGCATTGGGCTCATCCCTTGTCTCACTACTCCTCGCCAATCACCGTCAACTCTCACCCTCCTCATCCTCATCCTCATCCTCATCCTCATCCTCATCCTCATCCTCATCCTCATCCTTCCCAAACCCATCCGCGTGACCACTCGATCGCCCGAACCCAACGCCCCAGCGCATCTTCAGCCCTCGCTAATACAGCCGGCGATCGACGACTTTTCATCCTTCGAGACGCTCCTTTTTCCTTTTTGCACTTGGACTTTGACTTTTCACGACGGCTCCGAGGGCCCGACCGCAAACTACGAGTACAATTTCTAACCACGAAAGCCATCTACTTTGATTGATCGTTGAATTTGCTGGTTAAACTATCGCAGACGTAAGGATTTTTGCACTCCAATTGCGTTAAATGAGCGGCACGGAATGGCAATTAAGAAAGTAAATCGATTGCGAGAAATGCATTTGAAAAAAGATTTCATACGTTATTATAACTTCCTATCCGAAGTAAGTGCTCGTGAGAGATGATAGATGATACAAAAAAGAGACAGAGTGTCGATAATTTCCTGAATCGTCGATAACAAAAAAAAAAAAAAAAAAAAAAAAAAAAAAAAAAAACTATTCGAAACACTTAACGAAAGATTCTCTATCTATAAGGCATTTTTGGTAAATGCAAAAAAGCACAAATAGGTTAGTAATATAATGTAAATTATGTAAGTATATCGCGCAATCAGATTTGTGTGCTTTAAATCAAATTGGATTTTATTAATGCTTTCATCGGAATCGTTCGAGATAAAAATATTTTCAGTAAACTAATGCAGTTTCTTTCACTTTATCAACAAAGCATTAGTGCATCATAAGAATTTCTTACAATTAACTCGAGTACTTAGAATTTAATGAAAAATAATAAATAAACAATGTTGCAAGCGAAGATGATCGAATTTGCCGATATTACGATTAATAATCGTTACTTTTAATTAGATGATCCATAAATTCTAGTAATCCAACTATTAATTGAATGAACTAATGAATTGAATACTTGAAGTTTCACAGTTTGTCATTGCTCGCTTATGTGAATTCTGCATAAGAGAACGTCTAACCCACCCCCACGTACTTACGATATTTTTAGCTTCGTGTACTATTAACGGCTCACCTGCTGAAAATTATAACCTGAACGGAGGTGCTACGAACGACTTCCGGCCGCTATTCAGCAGCTGTCGCTAAAACCGTTTTTTTTCCTTCTATACGATCCATTCTTTCTCTCACCCTACTTTTGTGCGCCGTTTGCAAGGTTCGAGTTTATGCGCATGAGCTCGCACGTGTACGCATACGGTAGTGGACATACGAGCTGCGCGGATATTTCAGTGATTTGATGATTTTATTATCCGGCAAAATTTATGGAGGAATCGCATGGAGGTGTGGAAAAATCGCCTTCGAAATCCTCTCATCCATGGTATACATTCATGTTAGACCTCGGGGAAATGAAAAGTGCATCAACAATACACCGACTTTAACAAGTTTTGAAGCCTCCGCGAGGGGACCCTTTTTGTTTTGTTAATTTCCTCAAATTAATTATAATTTATTTCTTCGTGGAAAATCAGGCACTACCAGTAGGATTGAATCATTTGGAGAAATATTGAAGTAACGAATTTCCCGCCTCGAAAGTTGTAATCAACCAAAAACGTAAAATTAAATGTAACGTCATTTTGATGAACATAAAAAAAAATTAAAAAAAAAAATATATATATATATATATATATACACCATTTGAAACGATTCGATAAATATAAAATCCTTAGTATTTATTGATTATTGAAAGTTTACGAAATATGTTATACTCGTAGCCAATATCGCACATACATAACGATGTACGGGACCATTGTTTATTGTATTTGGAAATTTCCTATTAGAAAAGACTTGCTCGCTGTTCTAGTCGTTACGGATCAAATAAACAAATGATTTTTTATCATCTAATAGAAGACATTTTCCTTTTCTCTTATTATTCATCGAAAGTCTGGTTCATTGTTAAGAAAAGGCATGAGATGGTATTCAGGGAATGGACTCGCACAGTCATATCCGCAAATAAAATAGAAGTGAAAAGAGGAAGAAAAAGCTTTTTAGCCGCGAACTTAGTCGAGTAAAATGTCTACAAACCAGTGGGACGTGGAAATGAAACGTTGATATATTCGCTGCAATTTTGTTATTACTTTTTAAATTATGTCCTCGAGTGCGAAAATTCGGGATTCTATTGTGACAAACAAAGGCAATGATGGGGAGAATGATTTCATTCGATAAATTTTCAAAGACATTTAATTGCTGGCGTTTTAATTTTATTAAAAAAAAAAAAGAAAAAGAAAAAAGAAAAGAGGTCATTACGGACATGGCTGGCTTGGACCGTAATGCATGAAACTCAATCTCAGACTCATGGATTCATGATGCCAACAAAACGTCCTTTAACCAACGAAATTCTAGTCTTGTAAATTGATTGACAATTACGAAGAAGAGTTCGCCCGTTCTTCCTTCCTATTCAATTGGAGTGGTTTATTTTTAAGGAAGTTTTACAAATTATTATCAGATTTTAAGGAACCTAGCAATGATGAGGATAAGGTAGGTTTTTTTCGTAGGAACCACTGACTGTTAAGTGAAAATAAATTTCAATTGTAATAAAAGTTTAATGAGAGAAAAATCGTGATCGAGTTGAAGCTGCTGCAACCTGACATTAAACTAAGCCAAATCATTTCTTAAACAACTCATACTTATTTATCGCTCGTTACTTAATAATCATTGGATGCTCGTTAAATTCAAACCCTCTTAAATTATTCTTCCTTGTTTGTCTTTCTTATCGATCTTCACATCGATAATCTAATTTTCACATCGATAATTGCTTGCTATTTCTATTAATTCACCATATTTTCTGTGTATTTTAATACTTTTAACTTTCGAATAAATTTTAGTAGAATTTAAGAGAGAAAATTTTACTTTACCTATTGATATTGATTGATAATAATATCCGGACGATTTGTCAATTTATTGAAATATAAGATTCCTTTTACCAACTGACAGAGGATAATACCCTATTATTTATTTATTTATTTATTTATTTATTTATTTATTTATTCATTCTTTTTTCATTTTAATATCATATTATAGTAACGTAATGTAAAAGCAACGTTGAATACTCTAGTTATGACAATATCCATTTAACTACAATACGATCTCGAGAATATAATATGAATTAAGCATTCACTGTTGTCAGAAATTGTTGTTTCATCTAATTTCTAACTATATAATATATTGCATTCAATCGCAATGATAATTTGATGTTAGCGGCCTGTCGACATATCAATTTTTCCATTAACATTTTTCCAGTTAACTAAAGAACGGTAAAATTCATATTTTCATTAGTGAGTGTAATTTTGTCATAAATTTATACTGAATAAACTTCATAATTTACATCTAACTTTGATATATCCGCGATACATTAAATAACAATAATCAAGATAATTCATTTATTATATTGGTTTATAAATATATATATATATATATATATATATATATATATATATATATATATATCATCATCATTAATAGATTCGATTTTGATCAACAGTTGTAATTACATGGATTCTTCGAAATTAATGATAATACTTAGTCTTAATATTAAAACGATATATCTATCGATCGAATGTTTGGCTTGTATAGATCATAACTTTCGTTGCTCTATTCTCATAATATGGAAAAGAAAAACTGTAATAATCAGGAGATTAATAATGAAAAGTACAAATTAAATATTAAATTTCTCGTTACATCGATTGCGTTTTAGATATGACTATATACGTCGATTTTACATTCAAATGGCCAAATTTTAATAAACAAATTATTCAGTCACTTAAATAAAATAGCTTATCGATAAATGTATAGAGATACATTGAACATATGGCTAAGTAAGCAATTGGCCGTGAGCAACTAAAGCACTGAAGAAACATGAAAATTTGCCGAAGAATCCTTGCCGATCGCTATATTTAATCACTGCAATTGGCCGAAAGAATATAAGCACACGAGCAATAAAAAGAGCCATTGAAGTGTCGATAATAAAGGAGTCTCCGAGCATACAGCTAAATGATAGATTCACAATAAGAGTCTAGTAGCGCGAACGAGAGAGAGAGAGAGAGAGAGAGAGAGAGAGAGAGAGAGAGAGAGAGAGAGAGAGAGAGAGAGAGAGGAGGGAAAAATAAAGCAAATAAAAAGAAGGGATGAACGCGGCCAGCGAACGAGATTACGGCGCTTCCTCGGTGCGATGAACTCGCGTGCAACTCGCTCGCTTAGCTCTTACTCACAGACGTGGCGCTTTTATCCGAGTATTGGAGAGTGAAGGAGCCAGGCACGGTTGGTGCGTCTCTCTCGCACTAAAGTGACGCGCGAGGCGCCTTTCGAGTTAGCGCGAACGACCGTTGGTGAGTAAAGGGAGAGACGTACGCGCAGAGAGCAAACGCAATAAGTTTTTGGCAGCTTCGCCGTGCGCGCACGCACCTTTGTTTGTATACGTGCGCGTGTACGCGTACGCACTGCATACCGTAGGAGTGGAAAGAGGAGTCGACCGCGTCTTAAAACTGCGCCACTCCATAAATTTGTACGCGTGGAGCGATGTTTAAAGGGTCCATGCAGCTCCACGGCCATTTCGCGCATTCCTTTGAGAAGACTTTTCCTGGCGTCCCTTTCCCGAATGGCCACGTCAATTTTCCAAAATGACAGACAGCTTTGCCACCAGCGACAGGGTACCGGCGCTAAAGTTATCGCGCTGCTGATCTGACCGTGAGAAAGTGGAAGGGACATAAATAATTCTTCTTTTGGGAGAATCGCTGCAGAACACACAACTGCCAACCAACGCCATCGATTGATAAACAAAAAAAAAATAAAATAAAATAGAGAAAAAATATCACGTTTCGTAAACATTGCCCATTTAGTTGTTTTTGAAAT